TTGATTGGGGATTTATGAATAGAAATTACTAGCGCGGAGACGTTGCTTTAGACCTGTACAACACAGCTATTGTCGGACATAATGAATCACAGGTTTTTATATCTAAAAATCTACGTTGTTGTAGGAATGTCGCTATGTTTGTATACATTCTCTAGCCATGTGAGTGTAGCCTCGTTCGTGGGTTAAGTCAGTGACATCACTTCCGCTTTGAACTTCGATTGCAAAGGATTATGGTCAGATCAGTTCAAAGTAATGGCGGCTCGAAAATTACTCGAAATAATGACAAATTTGAAGCACTTCCCTTCATCCAAATGCAAAACGGCCTTGGTATGTTAATATATATGGTGTATACTAGCGAAAACAGTGGTCAGAAGAAAATGGACGGATTACGTCGTAGCCGCACTTTAATATTGGTGACTTTGCTTCATAGAAAACAAGCACTATAGATGCAGACACAAATTTGCAACATTTATTCGAACAAAATAGAGATAATTTTATATTGTTTTATGCTAAGTAGTGGTAAACATTTTAACACAACCAAAACGAAACTATAAAGCACTGGAAAAAATTGCGCGCTTTAAAGGTTGTAAATTTGATGGAAATATTATGTACGTGTCCAAAATGATGGAAATTTGATGGGAATGATTTACATCAAATTTACAACCTTTAAAGCGCGCGATTTTTGCATTATGGGAAAGTGACAGAGTTTTTGTACGTCAACAGCAATATCGTAATTTTTGTAATAGCAAAGTGCATCATGGAGTGACTGAATAGTATCTGCACGGAAGCCTATTCTGATGAAAACTATGAAGAAAGGAGTTAAACGGCATTCGATACCAACTTTTTTTTGCTTGAGAATAAGAATTCATTGCAATATCAGAACTGAACTTAATCTTTATTATTTCTTCATTTCCTATGGAGATATTCCTATGGAGATATTGTGATCTTCCGATGCTGGGTGGAAAAGGATTGGGGATAAATATTTGAAGTCACCTCATTTTTCATATATGAAAAATCTAAAATAACCCCTGCATATTGTATATATACCGGTTAAAAATGAGTATCAGTATTCATTGTCAAGGAAATCGAAAAGCTGCACACTCAGTATCTCAACAATCAGTCTGTGAGAAAAAAGTACTAATATGAAAATCACAGCTAGATACTAGCTTTTGTAGAGTGAACGCACTTAATCCATGAAATTTAACTAATTTCTTGGTACTGTTTTGTGCAATTTAGTTAATGGTGTTCATAAAGAACAATGACAATTCAAAGGATGTTCGCTGATTCAGTTGCACATTAATCGTAAATTTATTGTAGTTTTGGTATTGTACAATTGAACGGCTTAAATGCGTTCACGGGATTATTGTATTTGTATTATAGAATAAAGGCGCTAAGCCTGTGAAATTGACATTGATACACCAATGTATCGATTAATACCGGTGTACACTTTAATGGCACGAGATTTATTAATTTCACGGGTTTATGTTGCAAGCTAATATCCTAGACTATTATAAGATATAGCCCAAGACTAGTAGATCATTTTAGAGTTGAGTCTCCTGCATTATTGTATTCTCACTTAATGCAGTGGTAAACATATAGACACGTAGACAGGAGACTCAAAATTATGCAACTAAATGACCCTCCCTAATCATTTCTGAAAAGTTTTGGAAAGTCCAAATGGCCGAGGCTGCCTTAGCTGTTTTTTTTTTAAATTATTGAAAGGATGTTACTAGGAAGGAGGTCTACAAATTATAGCGTTATTGTTTTGTGAAATAAGTAGAGGACATTACATGGGCGCGCGGACATATGGATTTTATCTTCGAGTGTTGAACTGATATCCCACGAGTGAGCGTAGCGAACGAATGGGATATCTTTTCAACACGAGAAGATAAAATTCATATCTCCAAGCGACCATGTAATGCTCTGTTTATTATATGATTAAAAAAATATTGACAAGATTGACTAATGAAGAATTTTATTTCAATTTTTTAGCGAAAAACACGCACGCACAACTTTCTGCATTCGTACATGTCTGATTAGTTAACTCTGATGTTTAATTTCTCAAAGATTTAAGAAATTAAAATACAGAGAAATTTTATTAAAAAAAATGATCGAAGCAATCAAAATTAAAAGCCAGAATAGTTCAGGCAAAAAATACAAGTTTTAAAATAAACTATAAAGTTTGTCATTTTTATCCCGTCACTCTTGACTTTCGTCACTGTTTTATAATACGTTTCCACTTTTTACATTCCATAGTGCTTTCTCGTTTTACAGGACATTTCTGCTGCAAGTTAACATTAATATTGAATGTTCCTCCTCTAATCGTCACAGAAATTAGAGAACCAAAAGCCGAAGAGGCTGCTTGCTGTCCGGCCTTATGACTGACACGGTATTCCTTGGTCGACTCGGCAGCAACTTGTTTTGTTGTTGTTGTTGTGCATGAACTTTGGTCAGATGTAGGACCTCTAAATGCCAAAATGTTTGATATGTTCTCTTGCTGATTGTCTGAAAGGGAGGAATAATTGTTCACCGAGTTGACATTACGGTGTCCTGTGATTTGCATGATCTGAGTAGGCGGTACATTGTTGTCATTCAGTTTTTGAACAAGGTGTTTTCGTGCACTGTGGTTCGTCAGTCGTTTTCTTGAATCAAGTCCCAAATTTGCTTCGCTTGCCATAGTTTTAAGTAGGCTGTTTAGCTTGTTGACACCAACAGGTTGTGCTTTAAACC